AAAAGCTTTAAAAAAGATTTAACAGCAGATTCCACTGTGACTACTTAGTATGCTGTGGCGACATGCTACACGATTGGTGAATATTAAAAAATTATATTTTCCTTCTCTCGCCAAATAATATTAGAAGCACTCAAAACCTTTAACGAAGACTATAAGGTCTGTGCCTACACAGAAATTCACTTTAAAAAATGAACCTACTCAAAAATGTGTAAAAAGTGACAACTAGCACAGATTTTTCCATTTGGGACCTTTGAAACTCATTATTATTATTATTAAACTGATCAATTATACCAAGTTACAGATTTTCTGTAGTAACAATTAACTAAATGTTTATAATGGTTAATCATTTTAGCTTATCACTTACTGAATAGGTTAGAACCATATTACTGGAATAAAAAAAATATTTAAGCCTTTTTTTTTTAAATACTTTAAAATATTTTTTTTACTTTTATTTTTTAAATTTATTTATATGTTTTACTTTTTTCCGGATGTAAGTGTATGTGTAGAAGGGTGTAGCGTTATAGAGACATGCAGCAAACGTTTGCGCTCACTCACCATATTAGCAATTTAAAGTCAGAAGGAAGACGGAGGAATAGAATGAGAGGAATGTGTGAGTGGGGACCTGAAACGAAGGGGGAGAGGCGTTAATGCAGCGTTTTTGATCTTCATTTAATAATACATCTAAATACTGACACCTGCTGGTCAGTCGTTATTACTGCAACCTCCCATTAGGAGAAGAACCCGCTGAGTTTCACTCCATCCTCTCGGTGTCTACTGCTGTGACATTGACAAACGAGTGCAGTGAAGAAGGGACCGCGGCTGGGTTTTGAATTCTGACACTTGCACTGCCACTGCAACTTTTCTAGCCTGAAGTATGACACTTCCCGCGAGAGCTGCATTCACTTGGCGCAAGCGCTCCTCGTTGTTTATATAGCCTACATTGCGTTACGTGCGTTTTCATCAGGCTCAGTCTTGGAATGGTAGGACTCATTGTCTATATTAGAGCTGCGCACCGGAGCGGTATAACAATATATTACTACAGGTCCCAACACAGCGATCACTCGTCTCTCCCTTCATGCTCACCTTCATTATGGCTTACAGGCCTGAGGGAGCTTCCCCCGAAATGCAAATGTCTGATACAAACTTGTACTGATTCTGCCAGAACTTCAGTCGATTAAAATGCATCCATAATCACGTGAAAACTTTTTTTTTCTTCCTTTAACCTCTCTCAGTTACGTATGGTAACCCTCGTTCCCTGAAGGAGGGAACGGAGACGTCACGGTGGCCGACGAATTGGGATATCGCTTCGATAGACCAATCTACTTCGAGTGTAAACTAAACGAGCCAATGGACATTGGCATGCAATTATTGCATTCAGCTGCCGCTGATCACAGTGCGAGTATAATAAGGCAGCAGGTGCAATGCATACCAGGTTTTCGCTGAGGAGCCAAGCCGGTGACCCGGCGGCGGTACAGCAACCGTGGTGACGGGACGGGACGGGACGTCTCCATTCCCTCCTTCAGGGAATGAGGGTTACCATACGTAACCGAGACATTCCCTTTCAGTCGGTCACTCTCGACGTCACGTCGGTGACCGACGAATTGGGATCCCTACCAAAGCGCCATGGTGCTGCCGCTTCCAGTGCCCTGTGCGAGCCGCCTGCACCCCCATCTGGTGTAGGCCGGGGCTCGGGACAAGTAGTTCCACTCACCATTTTTCAAAGCACTACCTTACTGAGTGAGATTGGATAACACTGGGGAAACGTACCCGCTCCACTTGGAACAGGGACGCTGCGGAAGCCCCATCCTTCCCGAAGAAGTTTTCGGAAGCAAATACACATAGCATCTGTTTAGGTGTATATGGAGAAACTGGAGGTGATTATAACCCTCTTGGACAGGCAGAAGTCTGCCGGGGAACACGGGCTCTAAGGCTATACCGTGGATTATACACATACGAAACCCGCTTAGGTCTCAATATGGAACCCAGCCTTCAACGGTTCCCGCGGATTCATCGTGAAGGCCCGGCGCCGGATGTTCCGCCGCGTCCGCTCCCGAGGGTGATGGAGGATCTCAACGGGGTCTACTGTACGGACACTCTGGAGCAGTTTTTAGCAAGCCAACACTAACCGGGGCCTCTCGGTGCCACTATCCGTTTGAGGTGAGAACACAGGAGGATACCGGCTCCACACAGAGGCTATAAAATCTAGCGAATGTGTTGGGGGTTGCCCAGCCCGCAGCTCTACAAATATCTTTCAGTGAGGCACCACGAGCCAGCGCCCAGTGAGGCCAACGGCGGGAAAAAACGAAACAAAAGATTCTCCACCCGGCCCTCCTCCGGGGGAGGGAGTGGGGTGTTCACCATCTCCCGAAGAGCAGATCCTTCCATCTCTGGGTCGCCTGTCTCAGGGCCGCTTGCTTCTCCGCTTGCTGCCAGGTTTGACGGGAGCCTGGACAGGCGGGGCGGCCTGCCCACGCCCGGCTCCACGACGCCGCTTTGCTGAAAGCTGCTGCGGATGTGGCGCGGGAGCAGACACGGGGGCCCGTCCTCGGCGACAAGCAGGCTGGGGCGCTGCAGCCGGCGGACGTGGTGGAGGCAGCAGCTGCCCGCCGGGGCAGGATGTGTTGGATTGCCTCAGTCTGCTTCTGGGCAGCCGAGAACTGCTGGGCAAAGCTCTCGACTGTGTCGCCGAAGAGGCCGGTCTGGGACACAGGGGAATTGAGGAACCGAACCTTGTCAGTGTCCCTCATGTCTGCCAGACACAGCCAGAGATGGAGCTCCTGGACCACAAGCGTGGACATTGCACGACCCAGAGAACTCGCGGTGACCTTCGTCGCTCGGAGCGTGAGGTCAGTGGCGGTTCGGAGCTCTTTCAGAACTTCCGGATCGTGACCACCCTCGTGCAGGTCCTTCAGTGCCTTAGGCTGGTGCACCTGCAATAACGCCATAGTGTGTAAGGCGGAAGCAGCTTCCCCGCAAGTCGTATAGGCACTGCCGGTTAGACCAGACGAATTCCTACAGGCCCGGGAAAGAAGTACCGGGTCTTCTCGCCTGGAGGAGGCGGACTTGGGACACAATTGCATCGCTACCGCCCGCTCCACCGGGGGGGAAAATCGCCGAACACCCCTTCGCTGCACCGCCGTCGAGGGTGGTGAGGGAGGAGGAGCCCACCGGCCGATTTCTGGCAGTAAAAGGTGCCGTCCATGACCTGGTGAGCTTGTCATACACTTCCGGGAAGAAAGGCACCGGGGCGGGGTGCTGAGAACCAGCGCGAGCTACCCCGAGAAACCAATCATCCAGCCTCGAGGGCTCGGGACGCAGTGGAGGTTTCCACTCGAGCCCTACCCCCTCGGCGGCCCGGGAAAGCACAGCTGCCATCTCCGGATCCAATTCAGGCCTCGCCACCATCCCGGAGGGCGGCAGCGGGGCCGAATCTTCATCGGACAGCTCTCCCGCTGATGCTGAGATCGACATCTGGTCGGGGGGAGGTCCACTGGATACCGCTGGTACGCTCTTTAAAGAGGGCCCAGTGCTTTCCGTGGGTCGCTCCACTGGATCAGATGTGCAAGAGGAGTGATGGTCCCCAGAGGGTTGGTTCCTTGTGGGGTTTGCCATCACTGTAACCCTCAAACTGCCCGCGCTACTGCTGGAAGTGGTTCTCGTCTGTCCACCAGAACGAGCCCTAGGCAGCGGCAACGGGACTCCGCCCCCTTGCAAGTAGCGGAGCCTGGTTCGCAGCTCCAAGATGGTCATGTTCCCGCAATGAGAACATGACTCATCCAAGAAGGCCACCTCAGCGTGCTTGATGCCCAGACACGTGAGACAGCGATCGTGACCATCACCCGGTGCCAGGTAAGGACCGCACCCAGAAACGCATGAGTGAAACGGCATCCTTATAAGGACGATCCGTCGTCTTTATAAAGACGCACCCATGTAGCTCTTTTAGAGAAATTTGCTCTTTAGGAAATGCTCTTTTAGTGCGGAGGCGCACAGGGGAGATGGCCAACAGGGGTAGTGCAGCCTGAAGTGCGCAACCCACTCGACACTGGAACGACCACTGCTGAAGCGCCGTCTCGCCAACACAAGAAGCTTCCGAGAGCGTGCTGAACTCGTAGTTCTCAAACTCACAGTTGAGCTCTGCTCCGAAGCGAAAAGCTGGTATGCTTTGCATCTGCTGCCTTATACTCACGCTGTGATCAGCGGCAGCTGGATGCAATAATTGTATGCCAATGTGCATTGGCTCGTTTAGTTTACACTCAAAGTAGATTGGTCTATCGAAAGCGATATCCTAATTCGTCGGTCACCGACGTGACTCGGAGTGACCGACTGAAAGGGAACTAGCTGTTTTATGGATGGTAACTAATATTATAACTGAAATCCTATTAGTAATTAGTTACACTACTAGTTACTGCAAAAAGTAATATTACAGTAAATAGTTACTAGCAACTAGTTACTGCCCAACACAGATTAGTACAGTATATAATAAATACTAAAATAACATGCATTTAGCAGACATTTACATTTATTATAGACACCTTTATCCAAATTGACTTACAAAAATCAAAAGAGTCAAAAATATTTGTAATAAGAACACAATATTTGTTATTATAATAACACTAGTGTCCTGCAGCATGACAGCCAATACCTCATCTCATAAAACGTTTAACAGTTTTCTTGTATAGTTTTCCTTAATTATTAAAATATTTAAAATGAAAACAGTTGTAATATTTAAACATTACAGTTTTAGTATATATTATAGTTGTATAGTTTCCGTTTTGCTTTGTATTGTATTGTTTTTATTCCTATTATGTTCCAATTTTCCCCAAAGGAACAGAAAATTGGAGTACAGGAAATTGGAAATTGTTTTGCGGTTTCTTATACCTAAAGCTGACATGCTGACATTTTGGCTGGACCTACTGTTTTTATGTATAAAGAAGCCAAATATGCCTAGCATTGTTTGAGCACAATGTGACCATTTTTGTGTGTTTCCTTTTTGTCATCAGACTTCGTAAGGAGGGCTACACAGTGCAGGTGAATGTCAATGACTACCTGGATATCTACTGTCCTCACTACAACAGCAGTCAGAGAGGCATCGCCGAGCAGTACGTGCTCTACATGGTCAGTTATCGTGGTTACCGTACATGCGACCCACAGCTGGGCTTCAAACGCTGGGAGTGTAACCGTCCCCACGCCCCACACGCACCAATCAAATTCTCAGAAAAGTTCCAGCGCTACAGCGCCTTCTCGCTCGGCTACGAGTTCCATGTTGGGCAGGAGTATTATTATATCTGTGAGTATAGTGTGCTTTACCTCAGCTACAAAGACTTCCAAGTCTATTGTGACACAGCTATGTACATTATAGTATATGAATGTCAGGCAATCTGTCCAGGACATGTCGATCAAAAAGAAGGCAATAAAATGACAATTTAAGAATTAATTTTAGGAAAATAAATTATAGTTTTTGCATTTCTGAATTATATTCTATTTATTTTTATTATTATAGTTATTATTATTTCGTCATTAAATATTGTTAAATTAATTTTTGATTTTGTGGTGGAAAATGATTTGGTATTGTTCTGTGCAAGATTCACCCATTTGTGAATATATTTGAATATTTTATAGCTCCGCTTATTTATATTTCTAAATCAGTAAGTGAGTAATAATTCATAATCCACATTTATGTATTATTATAACTGTACGTACACAGTGCTAACACTATACGCACTATTGTATCTGTAGAACCTTTTGTATGTTTTGTTGTATAAGTTACCATAATACAAAACAACAATGCAAGCTTTCTTTAGATACTACATACTTTTTATTTAATGCTTTATGCTTCTCTGTGTTCTCTGAAAGTACAATACTTCAGAATATTACAGTTATGGAACCTAAGCAGTATTTCTGATGATTGACAGTTCACTGACATTTTGCCGTTTTATTTTAGCCACACCCACTCATCACCACGGCCGGAGCTGCCTGAGATTAAGAGTGCATGTCTGCTGCTCAACAGGTATCAACCTCTATCCATCCATCTGTTCATCTATCCATCATGCCATCATGAATCCATCCATCAACTCATCATTTCATCCATCCATCCAACCATTCTATTTTTCAGTCAATTGATCCACCTGTCATCCCATTTATGAGTGCACTCAGTCTGTGTTTCTTTAACTCTTCTATCTGTCTTTCTGAGAATCAAATCAATCTGTTTACGCAAAAAGCACACTCTCTCCCTCTCTTTTCCCTCTAGGTTTCACATCTTAATGTTGTTGTTTGGCACACATACCTCAGGGTTACTTGGATAGATTTTGATTTGTTAAACCTGCACTACCATTCAAAAGTTTTATTTTATTCAGCAAGGATGCATTCAATTGATCCGTAAACCATTTATAATGTTACAAAGGATTTCTATTTCAAATAAATACTGTTCTTTTGAACTGACTGTTCATCAAATATTAAATCAGCACAGCAGCTTTAAACTTTAATGATAATTAATGTTTCTTGAGCACCAAATCAGCATGTTGGAATGATTTCTGAAGCATCATGTGACACTGAAGACTGGAGTAATGATGCTAAAAATTCACAGGAATAAATTACATTGAAATATTAAAATAGAAAAGTCATTTTAAAATGTAATAATTTTTCACAATGTTACTATTTTACTGTATTTTTGGTAAAAAATGAATGCAGTCTTTGTAAACAAAACTCTGAATTTTTTTTTATAAAAATAAATGAATAAAAGCACATTTTGAACAGTAGTGTGTATAACAGAATTTGTGACATTAAAATAAAAATATCAAATTAAATAATTTTAATAAATATATACAATTTAAAAATGTGTTTGTTGAAATCATGTCAAGGCTGAATTTAAAAAAACATACTTACATATATAAGGCTGTTGGAGTATATAAAACAGAAAAAAAAGGTTGGGAAAACTGCTATAAAGCAGTCTCTTGCTCCTCCCCGTCATTTCTTTCCCCTCTCTCTCTCTCTCACTCTTCTCTCTTGTTTCCAGGTGCTGTCAGGATTCAATAAAAATAAATGAATAAAAGCACATTTTGAACAGTAGTGTATATAACAGAATTTGTGACATTAAAATAAAAATATCAAATTAAATAATTTTAATAAATATATACAATTTAAAAATGTGTTTGTTGAAATCATGTCAAGGCTGAATTTAAAAAACATACTTACATATATAAGGCTGTTGGAGTATATAAAACAGAAAAAAAAGGTTGGGAAAACTGCTATAAAGCAGTCTCTTGCTCCTCCCCGTCATTTCTTTCCCCTCTCTCTCTCTCTCACTCTTCTCTCTTGTTTCCAGGTGCTGTCAGGATTCATGTTCTCGCACAGTCAGTTTGCTGGCACTGAGTGTTATTTTAACCCCTCACCCTCTCTTTCTGTCAGTGCTCATGTTCATTAATAATATTCCAGTATGTAAGAGAGAGAAATAGAGAGCATACTGTGTGCTGTCTTAACCTCTGCCCTATCTCTTGGAGTCTCTGAGTTCATGTGTCAAGACGAATCTGTTAGTCCTGCTCAGTCAGGTCTGAACTCCAGTGCCTTGAGTTCAAAGAGCTGATGTATTTATAAGGATGTGGAAAATTACATACTAATGAGCTGATGAGTTGAATCAGGTTTGTTAGATTAGAGAGATAAAATGTGCAGTCATGGGAGGCCTTTAAGATCAAGATTGAGAACATGAAACAAAATGTAGTAGTTTTGAGATGCATTTTTAAAAGTTGGAATTTACGCTGTCTTAAAAAACACAACGTGTGTAATGGGACTCATGAAGAAGTTTAACATGCAACTTGTCTGTAATTTATTTTTTATAAATATTATTTCCCAAAAATAATTAATTAGATTTTTACAGTGCAATTGTTCTGAAGTCAAAACATATTATTAATCTGACAAATTTGTATTTTCTTTTAATCTATCTTTTTCTTCTACCCACTATTAGATTTAATTCAGATTTATTTGTATATCAATTTCACCTTAAATTAATAAATTATTTTATTTTCCAAATAAATTATGATTTTTTTCCCCACGACAAATGACATTTTCACTTTCTGTTTTTGTTAACTATTAGAAGAAAAATTCACTTCAAATGTATCATTTTTTCCAATATGTAACTAAAATAAATATTAATATTGTTTCAAAACTGATTTTTTTTTTAAATACCCAAACTATTCTTGGATGTATGTTGCAAAGAACAAAATGTTTATTTGTTTTTTTCTCAAAACTATATGCACATTTATTTATATAGTTAAAATTAATGGCAGTCAAAAGATTAAAACAATCACAATCATTATTTTCTTTAAAAGTGTCAAAGAAATTGTCAAATTTAATAAATGTTAAATCAATCAATCACTCAATAAATAAATACATAATGCTGAGTCCAAAATTTTTTTAGCAAATTTTCTGTGGGACACCAGTAAGTCAGCTGTTAGACAAGTAGTCGACTAGTGGGCCATTGTTTCGTGATTCATGTCCCATCCTTTTGCTGTATGTAGCCTGAACTGGGGACATTAACTACCACCATCACTTTCTCACCACTGCATATGACCTAGAGGAGCTTACAAATAAATTCCCAAATCTTTTGAGAGCATGTATAAGATCCTGCAGAGAGAGGGGGGGGGGGGGGGGGGGGGAGTTTTCATTGCATTTTATATATGTATTTTATGTGATATTTCAGATGATGAGCCCCAACCCACAGAGCCAGACTACACTCTAAGACCTAACATCAAAATCGATGACCTCGGTGAGTTACACACACACCAGACGAACCACACTGACACTTATACATATGCATATAAATCACTGACTAAGCTGACATTTACACCCAAGGTTTCTGTGGCCAGATCTGTGGCATCCACACACCTCTTTCCTAGTTACACAGCAAGCTCATAAATCATGCCTGTGCGTGTTAGAGCGTATTTATTGTTATAAATCAAATTGGGTACCAGGTTAAAAAACCAAATCCACTTCATGTGATTTGAATGTCTAATAAAAATGCATATGAGATCAACTCTAATTTGCTTTTCCTGTGCACACGGTGTACACCGAACAAACACAGCAGTTATCTGCTAGCACACATCTTTTAGGCAATGAGTGACACTAATGAAGCCACGAGCTAAAAGGCAAACGGAGCGTAAGCTGCCTGGCTATAGTTAGCTTGATTAGCGCTGAGGCTAGTGTTAGCACTGATTAGCGGTGGCAGAACTAGCCCTCCAGTTCTCATCCTGCACTTCCTCACCACCGCCGTAACCCGACTCAAGGACAGCAACGATCGCACCATTTAAATCAGAGAAAAGAAATTGATTTGACTTCAAGTGTTTTTAGGGAATAAAGAGGCATCGATCTGTTCGTGTTTTTTTTCCGAGCGTGTGTTTTGAGACAGATGGATGTGGATGTGTTTTGGGTCGTCTCTGGGTCGGAGCCACCCAACGATTTCCAATAACTGGAATCTGAGTACCGGCTCTCTCCCGCTTGCTCCGATTGGGGGTTCAGTTTTCAAACAGGCCAGAGAGGGGAAGAGAACAACCGCAAGAGGCCAGCCGAAGCCACACATCTCGGTACAGCTCCATACATCTGCATCCAATAGACAAAAGAAACAGTCTCGTCCTTGCTCACTGTTGTCCTGTTAGTATTGACCAACTTTAAGAACCAATGGAAATTATACATTTCTAAATTGCACACTAAACTTCTACAAACAAATCAAAAGATACTCACAAAACCGCCACAGGAAACTCTAGAGTGCTGCAAGTGCTTTAAAATTAAGTGCATAAACATTTTCTTCTTTTAATAATTTAAATAAAATTGGATTCTGAAATCATTAGAAACATAAATTCTCATTTGCAGGATTCTTAATGTCAGGTCTGTAAATCTGCTGGAGCAGTTAGTCCCATTAATGGCAGTGAGTTTCACACTACGTTCAGAATTCATATTAGTCACACAAATACACAGGCAATCACAAATACAGATGCAATAAACACAAAGACAGCTTTTATTTGGCCTTTAGGGAGTAATACAGAGCAAGAAGATGTGTGTTGCATTGTATTCATACCATTCTCTTTATAGGGTTTTTTTCCATGTTGAATATCCTGAACTAACAATGAACAAAACATTTTCTTTATTATTACAACTGTTTTCTGTGTTAATATGTTTGATATATTAAATAATATGTGTGCTACTTAATATTTTTGTGGAAACCGTGAAACTATTTTTTTTTGAGGATTCTTTGAGTAGAAAGTACAAAAGAACATTATTTATTTGAAATAGATTTTTTTAATGATGAAAAATTCTTTACTGTCACTTTTGATCAAATGAACTCTTGCTGAGCCCAACGTTTTGAATAACAGTGTATACATTTTATACAATAGCAGAAGCTAATATATTATAAACAATCTTGAATTAACAGTAAACAACCGTTATTTATTAACATTAACCTAGATTAATGAATGCTATAAAAAACCTTGTTCATTGTTTTTTCTTGATACCTAATACATTACCTTATGTTAACCTTATTGTAAAATATTACTGCGATATTCTATGAGATGCAAAGATCTTTGTGTCTCGTAATGTAAGATTTCACTTCCCATTTGGGTCATTGATACTACAAACGTATCAAATTTCTGTGTAATCCATTCTCCAGTGGAGAAAATTAACTTAACACTTACATCTGATTAGCTGATTAAAGTCACGGCAGTACTGATTCAAGCAAACTAACCAGCTAGAAACGTCTGTTCGTCCGGCGGGTCATGAGATTGTATCTCTGTATGTTGGCACTGAGTGTTGAATTCCAGCATATAAACACCATGTTCCAGAACATCCCACTCAGTTTCTCTCTCATGCCTGCCATCCAAGGATTCCTGTCAATCAAACATTGCTCAGCCATGGGGATAAGAAAAATAACGACTTTATTCAACAATTCGTCTCCTCCGCGTCACCCAGCACCATTTTGGAGAGTATTCACTGAACGCAAACAACGTATGCTGTTCTGTGTCAGCTGCGCCACGCGGATACGTTTTCTACGTTGTTTGTGCTTTGATTTGAACGCAAACAACGTATCCGTGTGGTGCGGCTGACACAGAACAACATACGCTGTTTGCGTCCAGCGGATATTCTCCAAAATGGCGCTAGAGTGACGCGAAGGAGACGAATTGTTGAATAAAGTCGCTATTTTTCTTTTCTTTTGCTCACAAAAAGTATTCTCGTAGCTTCGTAATATTACGGTTGAACCTCTGATGTCACATGGATTATTTTACCGATCTCCTTGCTACGTCTCTGGACTTTCGAACATTTCAGTTGTGCTGCTGTCTATGCAGGGTCAGACAGCTCTCAGATTCCATCAAAAATATCTTAATTTGTGTTCCGAAGATGAACGAAGGTCTTACGGGTTTGAAACGACATGAGGGTGAGTAATTAATGACAGAATTTTCATTTTTGGGTGAACTATCCCTTTAATGCTATCTGCGTAAAAGATGATAAATGGAACATTGGCACCCCAGACGTGTCTGAAACACCTGTCACATCTTTTGTCTGTGTGTTACAACATCATATTATTCTGTCAAAACACACAGACATACTGTGCGTGTCTGGAGATGTTTGTGGCAGACAATTTGCGTCACACACTATTCCTTGTGACCTGTAAGTGAAGACGTGTGTTTATGAACTTGTCTATCACAAAGTTTGCGAGCTGGAAGACACCTGCTCACAGTCACAGACACCAACAAACCGGTTATGTTAGCTGTCTCCTGTGATGATGTAACAGAATTCCATAGATTATTTGGGCACATTGGACACTCCTCTTGTCGTGATAATAGTTGCATTTTATTTTGTTGTGTTCGCGATGAAGCTGGTCTACAACTGCACACGAACACAGACACCTTCAGTACATTCCTGACTGAGTCACTGCGTTTTATTTTTAACTCCTTCCCTTAGGCCTCAGTTGGTCATAGGGCTTTCTATACCTTAGTGAGTCACGCAACATTAGTGTCTAGACCTAAGCTGTTAATTTTGTTCTGTCTGTCTCTTTCCAGATGACTATGATAATCCAGAGGTCCCCAAATTGGAGAAGAGCATCAGCGGTAGCAGTCCATCCAGAGATCGCCTTCTCCTAACCGTGGCATCACTTTTCCTTATCGCCCTTTCAGTCTCCTAGCATCCACTTCCTAACCGTCGCCATACCAACGAGGCCTTGGGGTGGGGGGCTAGGAAAGAAACTGGAAATGGAACACTTGATGCTGCAGCAGCTTACGGAGTGTCAAGCACCAGCCCACAATTCAACAGTGGTTTTCATGTCTTACAACGGTCTACAACTGCACACGAACACAGACACCTTCAGTACATTCCTGACTGAGTCACTGCGTTTTATTTTTAACTCCTTCCCTTAGGCCTCAGTTGGTCATAGGGCTTTCTATACCTTAGTGAGTCACGCAACATTAGTGTCTAGACCTAAGCTGTTAATTTTGCTCTGTCTGTCTCTTTCCAGATGACTATGATAATCCAGAGGTCCCCAAATTGGAGAAGAGCATCAGCGGTAGCAGTCCATCCAGAGATCGCCTTCTCCTAACCGTGGCATCACTTTTCCTTATCGCCCTTTCAGTCTCCTAGCATCCACTTCCTAACCGTCGCCATACCAACGAGGCCTTGGGGTGGGGGGCTAGGAAAGAAACTGGAAATGGAACACTTGATGCTGCAGCAGTTTACGGAGTGTCAAGCACCAGCCCACAATTCAACAGTGGTTTTCATGTCTTACAACAGCGACACACTTTGCGTGTCACGCAGACAGTACGAATACACTATAATGAGAACTGTGCCATTTCAGTTACAGTAGTGCGGATTGTTTGTTTGTGTGTGTGTGTGTTTATGCATTTGTGTGGCGCCTTCGGTGCTCGGGGGCGGAGCGGATCTTTACTTCGGTCTGAAGGTTTGATGGCTCCATTATCTGTGAATTGGCAGGTTAAACTTACGGAGTGTCAAGCACCAGCCCACAATTCAACAGTGGTTTTCATGTCTTACAACAGCGACACACTTTGCGTGTCACGCAGACAGTACGAATACACTATAATGAGAACTATGCCATTTCAGTTACAGTAGTGCGGATTGTTTGTTTGTGTGTGTGTGTGTGTTTATGCATTTGTGTGGCGCCTTCAGTGCTCGGGGGCGGAGCGGATCTTTACTTCGGTCTGAAGGTTTGATGGCTCCATTATCTGTGAATTGGCAGGTTAAAAGTTTAAAAGCGTCTCAGATTCTGTTTGATGAGAACTGAAATGAAATCGTCGAAATGAAATCGTTCAGCTTACTCGAACCCAGAAAAAAACAAAACAAACAGAAGCACCGTTTAATCCAATTCCAAAAGTATTTGTTTCTCTCTGTGTGTTTCTGTTGCCAGAGAGATGTACAAACTGCTGGATGATCATGTAATTGCTGTCAGGGATGAAGAGCAATATTCATTTGATGAGTTTAAACAAGTCTATAATAGAAAATGATCTCACAGACTTGAAATCAACCAATTTTGGACTTTTCTATCGACAATACGACAATTTATAAAGCATTAAATTCCAATTACATCTGATTCTTATTTGAACGTATTGTGGTCGCACATGAAAGCAGAGGCCGATATGGTTGTTCTGTGATGCAGAAAATTGAGACAGAGGTGATTTGGCATGAGCGCTAGCACAAACGCATTAAACACATTTTCAGAATTTACAGACAAACAGAAGCCAAATAGCTTTTTTGTTGTTGTTTTCTTTCCTTCTCCCTGTTGATAAAAGGTGCTTGAGTGAGTGAGCGAGTGCAAGCGTATGTGTTTGAGTGCATTAGCTCAGTGATGCTGGAAAAATCTCCTCTAGACTTTATGGACTTCAACCGGAGGTGGACACCTACACAGACACTGTACATAAATCACATGCATTTATTTATGTGTGGACATTGTGGACGACCTCCGCTCATTTGTTCGGACCATGCTGATTCCCGCTGGATTTGGAAGAACTCCAAACCAGCTTTGGCAGGTTCATTCCAGTTTGAACCAGTTCCACTTACCGCTGCTTGCTACTTGACTTTTTTCAGTGGTGATCAGCAAGACCAAATGGAAATTGAGGGGTCTGGTGGTTATAATCCGTTTCTACGGCAACAGTTATTCATCTATACACACACCTAAAGGCACTAGAGTCCAGCAGGAAATCAGAACAACACACAAAAAGAAATAACAGCAATTACTGGCGACACTTTTGCCAAGAGTAATACAAGCAAACAAATGCTTCGGAGCAGGTAGTTATTGCATTCTTGCGAGCTTTTCAAGGGATAAACGGCAGCGTATGCATCAATCATTTTACAAGGTTCAAAATTAAGATTCTAACTCTTTTAGACTAGCACCTTATCACGATGGCAATGACATCATATCACGGCTCATGATGATGATAGCAGCAACCAGCGCCGCTTTTCGCCCTAGAGACAAGCAAATACTGCTTAAACTAGTAATGGCATGTGGTTTAGGAGAAATGATGTGTGGTAGAAGTTTTCTAACGTAGAGTCATAATGGACACCTTATCTCACACCTACAGGCTGTCTTTAACATATTGATTAAGCCATTTATTGCATCATTCCGCTTTTGCTCTGAAAAATCATTTCAATTTATGTGGAACATTACGTCTGCTTTATATTCCATTACTATGGCTGCTGTGGTTTCACTGATCTAGAGCAACTTCAGAACAAATGAACACTAATTTGAATGCTCACAATGATGACAGACTTGAATCTACATTTAATTTGTTTCATGTTGTCATAAGGCGTTGGGTTGAGAATAAGTAGGTTTTTGTGCTTTTGGGTTTTTCAGGAGTTTGTTTTTCTGATGGAATAATGTAATATTTCAGAAGAGTCAATCAGGCAAAGTGTCACTCTTCAAATGTTGCACTTACAAAACTTGGACACGAGAATTGTGCGTGTGTGTGTTAGAGACTGCAATTGTTAGAACTTGACGTTTGTCTTAAAGCTAGCCTAAATAACCATTCAGTGTGTGTGTGTGTGTGTGTGTGTGTGTGTGTGTGTGTGTGTGTGTGTGAGAGAAAGAGAAAACTTGGACACGAGAATTGTGCGTGTGTGTGTTAGAGACTGCAATTGTTAGAACTTGACGTTTGTCTTAAAGCTAGCCTAAATAACCATTCAGTGTGTGTGAGTGTGTGTGTGTGTGTGTGTGTGTGTGTGTGTGTGTGTGAAAGAATGAGAGATCAAAAGGTAATAAAGATAAAGGACAGTGTGAATGTGTGTGTTTATGCGAGTTGTTTTCCATTGTTTAGTCTAGGCATTTTCTGTGTGAGTGGGTGCGAGTCAAAGAAACTGTATTGTTTTGGAGGAAACAAAAGCATTTATTAGTGTTGGAAACAACCGAATACAATCATGTTTACCTTCAACTGGAATTAATTTAAAGAACTTGAAAAAAAGAAACTGTAAACTGAACAAACCATAACCAAGCTTATAATAATAATCATCATGATACAAAAACATTAAGCCTTTGATTCATATTTGTTACAGACACGACAAAATTTTTATGAACTCATATGTTTGGGTATTGAAATGTCCTTCTGAATTTGATCACTGTCAGTGGAAACCGAAGGACTAATCTAATAAGAGTACACAAACATCATCTCCCCCTCACTCTGACTTCCCATCTCCTCATAAAATGTAGTTTCAGGTTTCCCACTGCTGGCATCAAAAACAAGCCATTCTTTACCAATCTCGCAATCTCTTTTATTTTGTGCACTCCATCATCTCTTTCAAATCTATTATCATAGTGTCAGTTATCTCTGCACAGTGTGTAAGAAGCAAGCAGCACATAGATGAAAGGATTTCTAGCAGAGGCTGACCTGATGCTGAAACCATCTTATCTAATCACTGCTACATGAAGATATTTCTACATATCAAACAACACTGTTGGGCACGGGATGTCACTTTTTAAAACTGGTACCCATCCAAGCAATTTTTAGATTATTTTGTCTGCCGGTGCTAACTGTGAGCAAGATTACTTATCAGCACTAACAATAAATTTGAAGAAATCAAATTTTATGCTGACCCCCTACCACCCTCTTGTTGGGTCCATTGGGGGTCCCCGGACTCCAATTTGAAAACCTCTGTCCTAAATAAATGTTTTTCGACCTGGGATGTGGACGCCTATGCTTCGTGGTGTAATTGCAATGGGTGAATAAAATCTTTTTTTTTTTTTTAAAGAAGAGGAAGAGTAGGCAGTAACATATGTCATATACAGGCATTTGCATTTTTAATAATTTGTGTTTATTTTGTAAATGTAAGTTACATATCATGTAATGATATGGCAAAAGATCAGCGCAGTGCAGTGTTGCCAACTTAGCAACTTTTTCAACGCACGCTATTAAAGGGGTCATATGATGGTATTTTAAAGATCATTATTTTATGTATTTGGTGTAACAGGATATGTTGACATGCTTTAATGTTCAAAAAACACATTATTTTTCAAATACTGTACATTATTGTAGGTCCTCTATGCCCCGCCTCTCTCAAACACTTGTTTTCAACAAAGCCCCCTCCTTTGACAAGCGCAGTCTGCTCTGATTGGCCAGCTGACCCAGTGCATTGTGATTGGCCGAACACCACAAGCACGTCGAAATGTAACTCCCCTTACCATAATAGCTTTCAAAGTAAATATCAAGACAGTTAATAATGTAGTGTCATGGCTGCTTCAACACTAACTGCGGTTACTGAAACCACGCCGCCTTTCTTTGCTTGCACATTTGGGTGGCATTATGCTAATATTAGGAACCCTGACATTTGTACTACGCCAAGTATCACGCTGCAAATATAGCATGCTGAAATATAGTAGTCCACGGGTGTCACGGCGACATTATTTGCCTCATCAAGATGTAAAAAATTGGATTAGATACATAAAACTATATCCTCACCTTCTGATCATGCTGAGCGTTGGTTAATACCGTTACATCATTTAATCAGAGTGAGAACAGCAAGATCAATGTGTTCTACCACCCCATACAACAAAGAACACCATTTTATAATTAATACATTCTATAAAACCGTTTATTCTGGCCCTTTTTGTTTGGCCGTCTTGTGATCACAGGCCTCAAAAAAAGCGAAGTCAGATACTCAGACATTAGGGTGCAGTTTAACTTTACGACCACCAGGTGTCTCTGTTTCGTCTAGTACATTCAGATTTATAATATTGTAGATAGTTTTTCCTAATCCATAAATTAATCCCACTGTGTCTGTTGTATAAGAGGTGATGTAGGCAGGGCAGGATTTAAGGGG